CACCGCCACAGCAACCTCCGCCCGCGGGCACCGAGGCACAGCCCGCACGGCCCGCTGTCTTACCGAGCACTCCATCGCTCTGCCCTTTCTGTCCGGGGAGAGCAGGTGGGAAACATAAAGCGAGCTCTGTCTGAGATCGCCTCCCCCCATTTTGTTTGTTCCTAGCCCAGCATGTACAGTAGCTCAAAGACAGAAGCTGCACTTACTGCAACCGAAGCACTGTATTTCGTTTATCTTAAGCTCTGCGTGTCTGTAATTCACGACTTTGCTGCATCCTCAGATTTGCACAAGGGAGTGTTTCCTGTGATACACAGTTTTCAGCCTTATGCCAGAAATTCCTTTTCCTATCTCTTGCCTTACCCATTGCCAGAGATGTGTTTCCTCTTGGAGCAAAAAGAAATGACACTGAGATGGTTTTCCCAGTTTACCAGTGTGAAGATAAACAGGTATCTCTAAGCATCTTTGAATTGCTGTCATATTCAGAGCAAAAAGAGAAACGTCTCGGTGTTGATACCAATGTGCAAATGACTAGAGGTGCTTTTATATTGTTTCAGATACACCGTAAATATAAAATGCCCAGGTATTCTGTATTGATCAAGGTATTCCAGCAATTCTTCACAAGTAGGGACTAACCTCATGGAGGCATAGAAATAAATGTGGAGACCTGTCAAACAAGCCCCACAAAGGCCACAGCAAGAACACTCTGCTCCAGAGCAATGAAGCTCTCTGCATATCCTCTTCTTGCCTGCAGAGAAGAGAGCAAGCTTAAATTGTTTTATGAAAGATAAAATATGGGTTGAAAATAACATGGCATTACCAAAAACAGAAATGTATTTTACCCCGGGGGAAAGGGAACAATGGGTGCAGCTGCACTGGTTCCAAAATTTCTCCAATCCTGCCATTTTCTTGATAGTGAATGGCTAGATGGGGGTTTTTCCTCCATTTCACACCCACAAAACTGCAGGGCATCAAGAGATTTTTTTTTTTTACATCAGCTCTTAGGTTAGAGGAAACAGGAGCTGTACTATTATGAGTAGAAAATAAGTCACCCCTGGATCTGACCATTCTGCTTGCTACTCCCATTTTGACCCATTTCTGCCCACTTTTCTCTCATAGTTCAGCTGCTGTTCAGATAGCACCTATAAATGCACATAAAGTGTGAACTTCATGAGGCTCCTGATCAATGGCATATTTTTATTCTCTATTTTAGTCCAGAACATCAGAATCAATTAAGAATTAACCAACTATGGAATATGTTTCCTTTGTAGTTACGGCTGATGTGATTCACTGCATGTATTACCATCTTTTGGCATTACCACCAATGAGTAAAGTTGGATGAAAGTACATTTATGCTTTCAGTCCCCAGAGATGCTTTTACTCTGATACATCCTGTGATTCATCAGTTAAGTTCAAGTCCAAATGTCAGGAAAACTTTCAGATAGAAGCAACAATGCACTTCAACTGTGCTTCACATCCATCAGTAGCTGAAAAACTGAAGCATTGCTGTTCATGTAGCAATCAGTTGCTCAACATCCTGACAGAGACTTTGGCTTGTCTTAGGCTGATAAAATAATATAAACATGACATCTAATGCAATTGTAATGGAAAGCTTCTGTAAGCACAGCCTTCTAAAAATTCTTTTACATTTTTCATTTGCATTTCATGCTCATGGAAACTGCTGCCTCAATACCTCAATTGTCTGGAAATTAAATCTTCTGTAAAGGAGGATGAAGCAGGATGGCTCAACCAAGATGTAGGTACAGGAAAACCAAACTGCCATGCCTACATCGGTTTTGACCTATCTACTGAAACTTCCAATGAAGTTCTTAATTTATTTCCCGTGAAGAAGGCTGGTCACTGAGGACTAGAATCATATGAGCGTAATTATTTTATATATCCATAAGTAACAGAATCAGCGTTCAGCATAATCCATTAAAACCTGAAAGCACATTTCACTTCCAAATGTAAACATTTCTGTTATATTCAGTGGAGTCACCTGAATAGTCACACATTTTGCATACTACCTACTTGGCCTGGATTTGAACCATCATGTTAGATGTGGAAGGCTTTGTGGATTTATACGTTTTCCAATTATATCTTACTTGTTTAAGGTCAGTTTTCTGTGGGCAGCATTTTAATTTAATACAAAATCAAAGAATACATTTAGGTACTCCTAATATTTATTTTAAAGTTTAGTCTACAGATTTGCAGACATAATTTAAATACTGACATGTAGGGAAGAAAATAACTGAAAACTGGTGGTTTAACAGCTTTGTTGCTGGGACAGCTATAGCCAAGGTGACAGAATCCTCCAGCTAGGGTCTGGTATATGGGATGAAGATGTGGAGATTGGGTTCAGCCCATGTTACTGTGGGCTAAAGGCAAACAGCACTGGTTTGAGTGCTGCCCTGGGTTTGTGGATAAGGAATGGAACTTAAAAAACAAACAGCTTGACACTTCACCAAGGAAATGTTTTTGGACCCACTGATAGCAAAAAGTGTTTTTTGGGCATCAGTCCAAATTCCTCATGCAATTCATCACACAGGTCTTTGAACATTATTTGCTGAAAATTACACACAAACCAAATAGGAATATATCAAAGCCAACTGACTTTCTTATCAGTTTTCTTCTAATGAAAATATCCAGTAAGATGCATGGGAAAATAGTCTTTTTATAGTAGAAAAAGGGAAACAGTACCACTTTTTATCATAAGTACAGTATATTAATACATTTTCAAACATAATATATCTACACCAATAATACACAAGAGTGTCATGTAACTTGTAACTACTTTGTATTTTCAAAATTCTTTTCTTCCACAATTTTATGGTACTTTTTTGCTGGTTTAACTCCTTCATAAGAAAAAAACCCACCCCTATAATTTCTTAGAATTATGGAATCTTTAAGCTTGGAAAAGACCTCTAGGATAATTAAGTCCAGCCATTAACCTGGACATGTTACCATTCAACATAATATCCAGCCTAAACCTTCTCTGGCACAGCTTGAGTCCATTTCCTCTCATCCTGTCACTTGCTGCCTGAGAGAAGAGACCAACCCTCACGTGGCCACAACTTCCTTTCAGGTAGTTGTAGAGAGTGATAAGGTCCCTCCTGAGCTTCCTTTTCTCCAGAATAAACAACCCCAGCTCCCTCAGCTGCTCTGCTCTTCATAAGATTAGCTCTTGTTATTTCCTCCTGTCAGGGTTTCTCATGCCACTTGTCAAATGATAAAGATTAATTGTATTGGAACATGTTTACACCTGAGATAATAAGTACCATAGATTCAGAAACAGTGTGTCTCTTTATATTTGTTTCATAACTTATGAACTTTTTAGGGGACATTCAACCTTCTCCTGGCAAATGAACTTGGACACACAGACTTCACCCCCAGTTAATATAGCAGGAGCTGCATGTGACAAGGTAAAGGATGAAAGAAGAAGTTTCCACTTTATTGTTTAACTTAGCTGTTACTAGGTTTGACCTTTTAACTTTTCTTTCAAGAATGTCTCAGAGACTTTGATTTGGCCTTGTTATAAAACACTGTTACATTGTTATAAAAGTAAATTTTTTGAAGGGAAAAATATCAGCCAACCTCTGGAAATTGGAATGGTTTTGGTGCTATCCTGCAGATAAACTGATATTTATATCATATAACACATACCATATAACGTTGTGATACATGGTATATGATACATTATGCATGACATCTGGCCAGGTTTGTGGTAGCTGGCCAGAAATGCATAATAGAGAAATAAAATAGAAAAAACTCTAGAATTACTAAGGATATACATCCAGTTACTTACATGAGGATTTCACAAATTGAAGAAACAGGTATGATTATGCCAAAGTGATAACTGTTGATTAAATAAGAGCATTTCAGCAAGATTATGAAACTCAATTCTGTTGCTCTGAAGTGCTGCATTTTCCATAGCAAAGCATATCGGCACAACCAGCAGGAGATGCAGTGTGGGAAGGTTGGTTGTGATGTCCTGGAGCTGGTATTTGTCATACCACACACAGCGGTTAAAGGACAGCTTAGCACTTACAGGAAGGGGTCAGTCAGTCCTTAAAACAAAGATTGTAGGGACAAAAAGGAGAGAAGTGCTTCCCAGTATATCCAATTGAGAAACAGCCTCTTCTACAAGGTGATATAAAGCTCCTACACTCTTGAAGTGGTGAAACACTGTGTAGAGGCTTGCCTCCAAACTAGAATCTGTCATACGCTAACTACCTTTACACTGGCCTGTCCCAAATCTTAGACAGGAAATACTCCCTTAAATTAAATAATAAAGAATAAATAATTAAAGAATAAAGATATATTTTTAAAGAAGATATATATTGCTAAAAACACCTTTACCTTAGACCATTTCCATTGAAACATTCAGTCAGAGGCTCAGCAACAACTCAAGAGAAAATAAAGATACAGATTTCAAAGCAGACTGCAACTGTGTGTAGTCTGAAGCAGTATTGTTTAATGAAAAATAACATCATGGTAGCAAGGAAGCTTCCAACATTTTCACAAAGAAAATTTTCTTAACTTATGGGACCATATTAATGGTCTGCCTAGAGCATTTCTACCAACATGAAGAATAAGATATGGACATGGTATATTTGGGTTTAGGGAAAAAAGATTAGAGAAGAAAGAAAAAGTGGATAACAAAGGAAATGTATTCCCCCACCTTTGTATAAGAATTAGCTAAAGGTGTGTTTAAAATACTGAAGAGTTTATCTTGAAGCTTCCCATTGACCCATGATGATCAGAATTCAGTGAAGCAATTGTGGCTTTTATAGTCATGATTATGCGTGAGTGTGTAATAGTTGTAAATTGATTTGATTACTCCAAATTTTACAGAAACTACAATGCTGTATTAAGTGAAATTTTAAAAAAGGACAGTTGTTTCCCAAAAATATATAATAAACCCTCACTGAAATGCTGAAATGCTGTTTCATGCTTCAAATTCATACCACATGAAAGTTTATGTTTGAGATAATTTGTTGATAAATCTCTCTGTCTCTCTGCCTCTAAAAAGATTAGGCTTCTTTTTTTTTTTTTTTTGTAAGGTGCTGAAGCCAAACACAGTTTTTCAAATGTCTCTGCAGAACAACTGGAACTGATGTGGTTCCTACCACCTGACTGACAAGCCATCACAGCCATCGCAATAAGTGGCCAGAATCAGTTTTGGCTGCCTTGTGCTTCCTGAAATCCCTCTGAATTTCAGGTGATTGCCTTGGCCCCTTTTCTACCATAGGATTATGGAAATAAACTGACACTGTGGAAGCTGTCAGTGAAGTATCACTAAACCTCTGTGGTAAAGAGGTTCAGAATACAAGGTACTCTTTAAGATACCGACAAGCAATTTAGTTTTTGAGAAATAGCTGATTAAGTTCTTTTACAAAACTTGCCCATTTTTATACTTAAATTCACTTTGTTTCACCTAGTCAGTATTTTTCGGTATATTTCAGTATCGGAACTGCTGGTTTAGGGAAAAAGTTAAATTTTGGGGTGGGTTCTGAAGAAAGTTCGAACTGCTTCTGGCATTCCTGGGCTGAAAGCTCTGAAGCTCAGGAAATTTCTTTTCTCTAACTCTTGAAATTTTCTCACCCTGTGTAGTATTAAATTCATGTTCTTTATCTCTGTCAATTATTTCCATGAGAAGACAGCGTTTGATGTAATCTGTTCCCAGACTGGAATGTCCAGAGTATTACTAAAAAATACTTTTGCTCAGTGGTCACAGGGTGCATGAATTATTATGGTTGAATGGTCCTCATCTGAGTGGAAAGGATGCAATGTCTAGGAAAAAATATCTGTGAGATGAGATGTACCATTAACTTCAGATAGTTCTGGACATGGCTTTACAAAACTGCCCACTTTGAGTCAACAGTTGTAAAAGCCAATTAGTTAACAGTTAACTAACTTAATGGCTGTAGTCATCTCATAAAGCACATGTCTACACTGTGTTTTTTGCTGCGTGCCACAACATGAGCCACTGAACAGGGTTGTCACTTGCCAGCTGACATCTCCAATGCTCCAATCATCTACAATGATCTACATCTGTACTAGTATCACGGGAACCATTCACATCCTAATGTCTCAAGCTGTTCCATGTATTGCTGCCCACACAAGGCAGATCTCGTGTCTGTGCTCACTAGCCACCTGCCTCATGCACTTTATACATCACTGAGTTAGAATGCTCCTGACTCTTGTCCTTTCAAGTCCTACAGAAGCCTGAGCTTTGGTTGGAATCCCCCATGGTGTCCTCAGAGACAGAAAATATTTTGTCTCTGTAAAGCCAGGATCTTCTGTGTCTCATAGGCATCTTCTTTCTTGCTGAGAATGAACAGTAATGATTAGGGTGAAATCCTGAAGTGGCTGCTCTCTGGCATGCAAAACTTAAGTTTTTTAGCACACTCTTTGGTGGTTCTCATAAGGATTGAGGGCATCTCAGGGCATTCCTGAGAACACAATGCTCCTGGAAAATTTTGGTATTGTTTCAGAGGGAGAGAGAGAATTGCACTTGGCAATTCATGTTTCTACACTGTCAAGGAGTGCTCAACTACAAAAATTTCCTCCCAGCAGTTCCAAGTAAGTCTGAGGTGAATTTAGTTTCACTGTCTCTGACTACATCTGATGGGCAAAAGAAGAGAGGGGAAGAAAGAGAAAAAAAATTGCCAGACTGACAAGGTAGAAGTACTTGTGGACTGGTGTTCAAGGAACAGATTCCCTGCCTTCTGTTTCACAGAAGCTGCACTTCAGAAGTGTCTGTAGTATTTATCACATATTGGTACATGGAAAATAAATTTCAGAGAACAATTTCTCTAAATTTCCAAATGTCTCAGCCTAGCTAGTACCTTTAACTCAATTATCTTATAAATTTTTTATATTAATTGAATTATTTGAAGTCTTAATCTTACTGCTGTGTTTTGCAAGAGGGAAGTTCAGCATTTGTAGAATCATTCAAGAAAATACTGGGATTCAAGATAACTTTATTTCTTTTAGATGTTTTGGCTTTTGGTGTTATTTTTTCTTGTCAAGGTTTCTATTGTTTGTTGGACAAGCCCTTTATTGGAATATTTCCAAACTCAAAGGAGTCAATTCATTTGTTTCATATTCCAGTGAATTTTTAAATGTTTATCTTTAAATCTGCAGTTGTTGAAAAATATAGTTGTTTTATTTGTTTGGCTTTTCTTTATCTTCTCATTATAATACAGAAATGGGAAAAAGAAATATGCCTGCATGAGAGAAACAAAGAGACAGTAAAAAATATTTCTGGTACATGGAATTTATAAGAGACACAAACCTCAAAAAATTTACTTTCAAAAAAACCTCTCCAAATATCCTACGGTTAAACATTTATTTGAAGTGTATCTTTAAAAATATCAAAGGTCTGTATTCACAAGTTAACATTTTTAGCATGACTAAAAGATTTGTAAAGTTAAGAAAGATAAGGGAGTCCTCCACTCTCATTTGCCTGAGACTTGAATTGATTAAACTTTTCAAGCAGAAGCACACTTTTGGAGGAAAGAGGTGATGTTTTCACTAGGTTGTACACCAAAATACATTTTTACCTTGAAGGACAATATGCTACTGTGATTTTTGTTGTTCAACATAATCATCAAAACATAATTTTTGGTAACTGACAGGGAAGATTAATGGAGGAGATGAAAACAGATGCCTAAATGAAACTACATAGTCTTAATTTTTATTGCCTTAATCTCTTTCCATATTTTATATTAGTAAATACATTACATTGGTATGTTTTGCACTTAAACAAACAACCAGTCAAACAAAGCCCTTGAGGGCTTATTTAAATAGAAATATGTGATGTGGATTTAGAAGTGCAGAAATCCAAGGTCTGTGTAATTTAGAACCTTGTGTAATTTTCCTGTTGGTAAATCACGTGTCGCCCTCATAGCAGTGACCTTAGTTAGATTTTGATATGGCAGTAACTGTAGGCATAAATCATAATAACCTCCATGCTACACTATTTCTAGGAAATAAAATTTCACAGTCCACACTAACTCCATCATAAACTCATTTTTCTAGCATTCATTATATTAACAATTCATCAATTGATGATCAATTTGCCCTATGATTTAATACATTAGTATTTATATGAGAAAGTAAATTGCAATATGAATTACAGACTAGAAGGCTGGAGTTTTTTCATACTTTTGAGAAATCCTTTTGTGGGTGCTTTTCTTTGTTATACTCTTTGTTGATACCTATTGAAGGGATTAGGAATTCTGGCTGTCATCTAGACAGCTTAATGGGTACTCAGAAGTTCTGTAGTCAGGTTCTTAATTTCCTAAATGGTTTTTGTATTATTAACTAGAAACAAATAGCAGGATTAACTGTTTTTTTTAGCCAATAACCCTCTGCACTTAAAAAGTATGACATCTCCCTCTTCACCAGGTGAACAGAGGAGCCAAGCTGCAACAACTAACAGTCAGCAAAGGCAGGAGCATTGGAAGCCTTCAGGAAAAGATATGCTGAAGTAGCATTGCATGCAATAAAATGTCCACATAGGTACATGTAAAACATACTGCCCATGGCAAGCCTTGCTTCAAAAATTACTGTATGAAAGTCAACCTACTAAACTGCATTGTTCCACAGGTAAGAGCAAAACTAAGCAAGGAGACAAACAGCTTTCCTACTCCAGGATGTGACATAGCAGACAGTGCTTCTCATTATTTCATCCACAGGTCTCTTCTTAAAAGCACACTACGGCTTTGCATCACCTTGGTCACTGTAGATCTTGGAGCAGATATTTTAAATACCATAAAGACAATGGCAGTGTACCCTCCTGCTGTGAAACTCCCATCAAGCTGGTCCAGGATTCCATTCCAGAAGATGATTTCACAACATTGAATTGAATCAAAATTTCTACTCACAGGTTTTTCAACAGATTTCAATGGTAGGTATTTGTTGGAACTTGGCAGTTATTCTGATATTTTTACTGAGAATTTAGAGTGCCACATTACTCAAAGGATAGAAAAGGCAATAGACATAACCAGTTAGTATCAAAAGAAATACAAAACTGTATTTATTTCATCATTTTGTATGTGAATACTCTGAGGTTTTCCTTTTGGTTTTCTTGTTGTTTTTGTTGTTGTTTTTGTTTTTAATTTCCATTTAGCAAAGCTGTTTAAGTCCAAGGAATTGTCATATGCTTGTTCTTACTGGCAATAGCATGAGTTTTTCTGATCTGTGTAAATCAAGACATTCCTAGTGTTTAAAATGAAAACTGGTTTAAAAAAACATAACAAATGTATCAGAGTATTGCTGGGAGGAAGTACACCAAAGTCTCTTTCAAGCTGAATTAAAAGAAAAAAACCACAAACAAACAAACAAAAAAATCCAGCAAAAACCCAAAAAACCAAACACCAAAAAACCCCACATAAGTAGCACTTAAGAATAGAAAATATGTTTTTGTTATTCTGGTGGATGACACATTGTCTAAGACAGCTGCAAGTCTTCACATCTCTGAACAATCCCCATCCTCCTTCACTCTGAACTACTCTTTCCCTTTTAATGGAGGATTTTGTTTCTTGATTAGGAATCTAACTCTGCAATACACTGAACTCACTCAAACTCAAGGAGCTTTAATTGAGAGGATTAAAGTCATTAGAGAATCACAGAATCATAGAATATGCTGAGTTGGAAGGGACCCAAGAGGATCATCAAATCCAATACCTGACCCTGTGCAGGACATCCCAAAAAATCTTCTCAGGGGTTGTTCAATACCTTACAAAATTGAAACCTGAATAAAAGGCACTTCTTTTCTTTCAGAGGTTTCCAGTTAGTACATCTATTCAATGAATAGAATTTCTGGGTTGGCACCTTCAGTATTGCACCTTTTTACTATCAGGTTTAACACAAATACCTCTTACAGCAAGCGCTCAGTGTCTGAACCTCATTCTTTAGTTGTTGCCTGACTTGAGTTGGAACAACAGTGAGCTAACCTCTCATTATATCCTTGTGATGTAGGGGGTGAAGGAATCAGCAGAACTCTTTTGCTTCTGTTGTCACACCGATGCTCTCTCATTTTTGAAAAGGAGGGGAAAAAAACAACTAACTTGCAGCAAATCCATCCATGACACAGTACATGTGAACCCACTTTAGGCCCAGAAATTCTGGAGCTGATTTGGAAAACTCCACAGGTGCTCACTGACGGCTGGAGGGAACCATTCAGTGCATCTACACTACATTGCTGCTTTGATTGCTGCTCTGAAAGACAAGAAAGGAAAACTAGCGAAGTTAGAAGCCTGCAGTTCTACAGTGTGAGTGTTACATGTAGCATAAAAGAGGAGTAACATCAATCCAGCTCTCTGACACTGCTGAATCACAGTCCTGTCAAAGTATTCTGATAACAAACTGGGCAAGGCTCAGCATCAAATTCAGTGGGAAGCTGCTCATGCAAGCTGAAGTGACAGTGATAGTGCTCAGACACTTGTGGATGACCTTCACCACTTTCTGATTTCTCTGAGAGGAGCTGGCTCCCACATTGCACTGCCAGATCCACCCCCACTCCCATATGTGATCATCTGTCCCTATGGACAAGAAGATTGACACAGCTTGTAGAGGCTAACTATTAATGTGCAGTAACACTTCTGGCTTCTATACTGGGCATGGGAAAGTCCGCACTGAGCAGACTGATGTGTTGGAAATGTGCCTAGCAATACAGAAAACCTGAATTTCTTGTTCGTTTTTTATTCTACTCCATTTTTCAGCATTCTTGATTTTCTGGCAAATTTCTGTCTACTCTTATGGCTTATTTTTCCCATAAAACTGGAGAATTTATAAAAAGTGTAATAGTCAGGAACTATACCTTGTCTGATTTTCAAACGCAGTCAATTTTCCTTACCAACATCTCAAGACAATGAATATGACAATGGGATTAAGGGAAAGGGGATGGAGTGAAGAGAGAGGGAAAGAGAGAGGGAAAGAGAGAGGGAAAGAGAGAGAGAGAGAGAGGGAGAGAGAGAGAGAGAGAGAGAGAGAGAGAGAGAGAGAGAGAGAGAGAAAGTTTCCAGAAGTTTTTGGCTGCTGCAAAGAGAAAGCGAGAGCCTCACCTAAACAACACACTGCAATGTCAGCACAACTTTTACTAGAGACCAGGGAATCTGGCACAAGATGGTGTGGGAGAAATCCAAGATCCCTCTTCTTGAACCCAGTTACTTTAGTAAACCAAGCAATATGCAATTTTTTCTTTCTAGTGCGGCTAGTTTCCCTTTCACTTGTGTGGTGCCAGAGTAAAAATGTAATGGTTTCATTATGAAACTGTGTTCCTTTTTCATTTTCCTCTAGCTGGCCTTTCTGTAATGTTTCCTTACTAAATGCCTGAAGCTCTATCATATTGAAGTTTCAGTATTAGCAGTTTGACTCTTCTTTGATTGTTTTAGCATGGACTCACAATTTCTCCTATTAAGAAATCTTGTCTGAACTATCCCTTTGTTGCAAGGTTCTCCTTCTTGAATAAAAGACTTAATCACCTTTAATTTTCCTAATTCCATGAGCCAGCTGTTTAAAATATATGAAATTTTTTCTGAAAATCTGAAATTGCATATAAAAAGATTAAATCAACTATCTGAAGCTGTAGTTCAGACACAAAAAAAGCCAGCACAACCCTGGTTTGAATGCCATATAGAAATACAGGAAGTATTAGTGTCCTGCAGCCAGTGTAGAAGACCTGGTAAGCTCCTATATGAAAGAGTCTACAATTTTTTACATCCATATTCAAGAAATAGGAACTAACTTTGAATGGGTGTAAGAAAAGGCAACTAGCTTGATCAGGGATATGAAGAACCTACTACACAAGAGAAGACTGAAAACTTTTTGCTTATTGAGCCTGGCAAAATGAAATCAGCGAAAATACGGAAACTTCCCGAAAACATATTTGGGAAGGAGAGGGAAAGGGAAGGTTATTCCAACTAGAGGATAGTACTAAAACTCTGAAAAAGAATAAAAATATAAATTGTCTATGGATTCACCTGAGGATGAAACAGGAATATCTCCTAACATCAGAGCAGTGAGGCTCTGAAATTCCCTTCTAGAGAGATAACTCAGAACTTTTGTACTTCAGTGACCAAAAAACTGCTTATATGACTCTGGTTATGATGAGTCATTCTGTTTTAGCATGTAGCCTGAAGCACTTATCTTGAACACAGATTCTCAGTTGTGTGAAATTTGCTTAATTCAGAATTTCTTAGGAAAAGACTAAGTCATAAGTTGCAAGAAGAGAGCTGTACCTTTTCTGACCTTTACATTCACAGACATTTATTATGTGAACCGTAATAGCTACAAGACTACAAACTGCACCATAGCCATTGCCATTAGTTTTAGCTCTAGAAATCTGCTATTTCTAATCAAACTTGGATACCACAAAACTTGGGGCTGGAAGGTCTTCAATACCAGGTCATGTTCTATATTACTTCTGACAATGAGCAGTGATGAACAAATTACCCTGCAAAGAACTGCTTTTAGACCAGTACAGTCTGTGTCCAACAGGCACTTGCAGAGTGTTAATTTCTATGTCTTACAAAGCATTTAGAGCAAACCTGTCAAACCTCATAGTTACAGTATTGTAATGAGTTGAGTTCAGCTCTGTGTCAGATATCTTGCTTCTTTGGGGCACACCAAGACAACCTCTGTTTTCCTGCACTCTTTTTAATTGGGAAATAAATCAAACCCATGAGTGGTCATTCTTATAAAAAGCATACATAAAAAACAAAACCAAAAACTGTCTCTAAATCATTGTACTTAGGTCTAATGTTTCCTGGGCAATGTAACAAACAGAGACAGTGCTCTCCAAAACTACTTTAGTGATTAAAATACATCCACCCTTTCAGAAAGACAGAGGACTGAAGGGGATGTTCTGGATATCATAAAGATATTGTGAACTACTCCCTTATATGATCTTCATAAATCAGCCAGTTCCATTTTGAGATCAGTTACTTTATTTCCCCTCATCACTGCTACAAAAATTTAGATACTGACTCATATATCTCAGCCAAATGCATTCACTGGCTTGTGCCAACATCTTTTGCCAACATCTTCTTTTGCCAACCTAAACAATTCCTCTCTCTTCCCAAAACTTAGCCTTTTAAATATATGCTGTAATCATATCTCCTACCACTCTTATATTTACAGTGATAAAAACATTTTTGAGGGTTTGCACTGCAGATTTCAGTATTATATATATATATATAGATAGATATATATAGATATATAGATATATATATATATATATCTCAAAGCAGGATTTGAGGGCAATTGTCTTGTGACAGCTTGCAGTTTGTTGACAAGATTTTTCTTTGCAGTTTCCATGTATTTAGTAAGCTTACTATATCTTGTACATCAACATTTTAGCAAATTTAAAGGTCAGCCAAATAATAAGAAATTATAATGCAAACTTAGAAACATAGAAATGTATGATGCAAATACTCCTTCATATTTAAAGTCATGATTCACTGCCTTCTGCACAGTAGATTGTTTACTCCTCCTGCATAAGTGGCTACAGGCAGGACTCAGGTGCATATGTGGGTGGCTAGAGGGGATAAAATATAATTATTGATGTCATGAGAAAAACAGTCTTCTGTCACTTGTTGCTCAGTCAAGCTCAGCACATTTCAGGTATCAAAAGAAGAGAATAATAATACTGCTTGACTCATACTTTTTATTCAAGAAAATGAATAGCATTGTACAAAAAAGGTGGTGGATACCAATCCATCATATGAATAATACTCTAGATTTAATACCCTAGAATCCTCTGCTGGGTTCAAAGAATTTTGCAGGATGCATTTTCAATGATCATATCATTTCTTACTGATGAACAGAAACTGCAGGAGTGGAACAATACAACCATTTTGTTGGTGCCTCCTATTGCATTGCTCAGAAGAAAAAGTGAACAAAAAGGTCAAATGCAAAATCCAGTGGCAGTTGTAGGAATTTATCTATTTTTCTTTGAAGAAAAAAACTGAAGAGCGAATGTTCTAAATCATGGAGAAGAATTGTGTGCAATATCCAAAATTTTGCATTCTTCCTTGTCACTTAAAAGTTTAGCTTCATGTCATCAAAAAGCTAGAAACATGTCATTTTAATCAGCTTCAGAATACATATATGCATAACGTACACTTAGTTATAAAGTATATACATCAAAACACAGATGAGTAAAGACTTATGCCATGTACCTAGTCATAGAATCTGTGGCATCTCTGTAGTCAATTGCAAGCCCCAGTTGTAAACCTTATTTTACTCAGGGAATATTTCAGTAATTAATGAATGCTGTTGTTATGAAAAGATGGAGCAGAGTGTGCTGACATTATGGTTTCCCCAGTGGTATAACTAGGACTGAATGATTCAGAGAACTTCCCACCATGCTAGGCAGAACTGAACAATGTGTCAGTATATATTTATACTCCTTCATTTCCAAGGGCAGAAGGGCTGTTTAAATCTTTCACATCTGGCTGCTCTCTCCCACCCTTTTCCTGTGGGAAGTTCTTTTACATCTTTGGCCACAGAGAAGGGGAAGGATAGCTGTTTGAGGGACTACACAGCAACCCAAAGGTCAGTGAAATTTTCCTGGGAAAGCTGGTTAAAAGTATTACTTTATTCTCAAAAGTGATTTTTTAAAAAAAAACTGGTCAGTTTTCTGAGCAGTAGAGACACGCTGAACCACAGAAACTGATTTTGGAGAGCTGGAGGTTGGAGCTCAAGGATAGAGTGCAAAACTGCTGAACTGAAATAAAAACGTATGGTGAACATCAAAGTAATAGATTGTTAATTAATTAAAGACCAGTGTCACTGATATAGAAGTGCCTCTGGCATTAAAATTAACTATTTGACTGAAACGTGTAGAGCAGCTCATGTTTCTCATGATGTGTCTACAGTGTATAATTGGCATGGAGTGTTAAAGTGCCTCCAGACTTTTGGAGAACCAAGTTCACATGTCAGGAAAAATACAACAGCAGAGACAGAAAGCTCTATATAAATAGTTACCAGAATCCATAACAAAAACTTGTTAAAAGATAACCTTAGCATCCTTCACACAGAAACGTACAAACACAGATTTACACAGATGTTTGTTCTCAAGTGCAAACTTTTTTTTTCAGGAATCTCCAAAGCTCAATGAAACACCATTCATATTTGGTTATTCAAGCTTTCTTTATAAATCAAAGGCAAGGTACTTTCTTCCCTCTAAACTGAAAGTTTGGACTCCTCAAGACAGATGAGTGTCTTGAGGATATTAAGTCATACAGTCTACGGGTTCTGTTGATGTTGGGAAAGAAAAGTTTATGGTTCAGAAGTTATTCTGAGCTTGCAGAACTGATGACAGTAACAGTGCCCAACGGCACCACTTTTACAGGACCATATTTAGTTCCAGTTTAAGCTTTAGCATTTCAATTCTGCTGCAACACATTGTAGTTCTCTTTCTGCTGCTCCCCATACCAGACAAACTTGCATCGGCAAATGCCAATTTTGTGCAGAACCCCACTGAGTAATGCATGTGATGCATAAATGCATAAGTAGTGCATTCAATTTCTGAATTTGACTAGCAGCTCTGCATAGATCAGATTGAAAAACTTGCAGCTATTTCATGCCTTAGAAAAAGTAAAAAACCAAAATCACTACCCCAACTTAATTTAAGAGATTACCTCCTTAACTTCTCTCAGACAAATGAAGGTGTCAATTCAATGCACAGGTCATGTGGAAAAGTAGAAGAGATGAAAAGAAGCCAACCTTCACAATCCCATAAGGCACATTTCTTTCCCTAAATGGGCCAAAACTCATGCTGCTGGTTCAGCTTCAGCAGGTCACCTAATACTACCTTACTGAAGCCACTCATGTGATTCATTATGGCTAATCAGACCCTAAGTACTTAATCAAATTCTGATCCCAGAAGAGACTATGTTGAGCCTGTGAACAGTCTGTCAAGCAGTGGTTAATA